TTACTCAAATTATATTTTTAAATATAAAATTTACCTTAAACTCGAAACAATAACAAATAACTCTAACCCAAAACATAAAAGTATTTGTAATACCTAAAATATAATATAATAATCTAATATAACATATATATCCAAAAAATTTGAGGAATTTCAAATATCTGATGGGATCTCAGGTAGGATACATACCCGAAATAAGACCGGTAGGTGAAATTTTATCTAATAGGTATTATAGCCTAGACTTTACTAAACTGAACCTATATTTTGGGTATGTTCTGATTCGGGTTTTGTAGGAGTAAAATGCTCAAACATATGAAAAAACTAACATGTATTTCTATCTTTTTAATATATACTATTAAAAGAGAAGCATTCTGAAAAATCTACTTATCTAAGGTTGTTGCATACTTTCACTAGGTTTTTCAGATCCTAAGCATTTGAACATAGCTACGAATTTGAAATTTCTGATTCGGATTCGGGTCGAATTTTTGGGGGTCAAAGTCCGTAATTCAAATACCTATAAAAGACCTATAACTTTTGGGTACGTAACGGGTCCAAATTGGTTCGAGATTCTTAGGACTCAGAAAAGACTAGAAGTACCCGGAAACCTAAAAATAATAAAACCCAAAAAATACAAATAAATACCTACAAAATATTTAAATTCCCAAAAAACCAAAAGATTACTATAAATCTGACCTAAGGAACCTAAATACAATATTTTTCATACCCAAAATATTTTTTTTAGAAAAATTGAAAGTATACCCAAAAAAATTCATAATACTGAAAACACATTCGAAATACCGAATACATATCTAAAATAAATATACGTAATATACACAAATATTTAAGGTACTTAGAATATCCAATTGGGTCTCGGGTAGGATACGCAATCGAACAGTGACCACAGATCAAAGAAAAAAAATCAAATATGAACTTTGTCCTAAACTTCGACCCAAACCATAGCTATATTTATGGGTGGATTTTGGTTTGGTTTTATGGATCCGGTAAAATGTCAAGACCTAAAAAGAGTTATATAAGAATGTACATATAAAATTTTATATAATTCTTAACTTATATAATTTTAACAAGGACTCTTCTTTGATATAATGACTTTGTGACATAAAAATAATTTTGTTTATGATCCAAAGAAAAACCCGCGCTTTCGAAGCGCGGGTCAAAATCTAGTNTTGGTTTTATGGATCCGGTAAAATGTCAAGACCTAAAAAGAGTTATATAAGAATGTACATATAAAATTTTATATAATTCTTAACTTATATAATTTTAACAAGGACTCTTCTTTGATATAATGACTTTGTGACATAAAAATAATTTTGTTTATGATCCAAAGAAAAACCCGCGCTTTCGAAGCGCGGGTCAAAATCTAGTACTCTTTAATTCAAATGACTCGGGTCATCTTAAAAATATTGTATTTACTTTGTATATATGTAGTGGGGGCTTATTTCTTTATAAATTTTATTTTACAATTTTTAATGATGTTAGACAATTTTTTTTTTAATGTTACAATAAACATTAAAAAAAAGAAGAGAATTTTGTTGATATTAATTAAAATAAATATGTAAAATACAATAGACTAGATTTTGATCCGCGTTTGAAAGCGCGGAATTTTTTTATGATTAAAAATTTATATAATTGGGTTTTGTCTTAATTTAAATAATTTTTTGGTATAAAATCAATTCACCAAAGTTTGTGGTGATCGATTGTTTTTCATTAGTTTTTAGTTTCATTTTTTAATTTTAGATTTTGTTTTAAAATTTTGGTTTTTAGTTTTAAGTTTATATTTCTGATTTTCAGGTTTTGGTTTGAGTTTTTTAATTTTTAGATCCGCTGAGTTAATTTGAACTGATATTACCAACAAACAAATCTCAAATAATCAAACATCTAATTTAAAGCTGAAAATATGAAAAAAAATTTTTTTTTTAAAATTGCAATAGTTGGGAAATTGCCAGAAATAACACTTTCAAATTGCAATAATTGATTTTTTCATCTAGTAAGGTGGAAAGTTTATTCAATGTTTTTTGGAATTTTTCTTAATACTAAGCCCAAAAACCAAACCATATAATTTGTTTTAAAAACAAAAGAAAACCTAATACTATATCACATAAATAACTACCGGTTTAATTTAAGTAATACGGTTCAATTAACTATGTGATTTATATTATTTGTAACACTCTAGAAAGAGTCCAAATTTAAATGACAACTTGTATCAGTAGATAAAAAGAATTACTCTAATTTAATAGAGTATATATGTATAAATAATATGCATACATAATTAGTGTTCATTCCGTGCAAGCGCGACTCTCAAAAATTATTTATTATTTCAAAATACAATTTTTCATATACAAATGAGATTGTGAACTTTAACATCCGGATGATAATATTGAAGTCCAATGTACTTAAATAGGTTAAAAATCAAAAATATCAAAAATATTACTCTACTCATCAACCTTTATTGATGGTCAAAGTTATGATATGATAGTTGAACTATGAAAATCAATATTCAATGATTATTAATATATAAATTTCACCCCGCGCATATGTGTGGGTTATCACCTAGTTATAGTTATAGTTCAACTCATGTAACAAATAGATATTATGCATCCTTATAAATGTATACATATTTACATGTTCAGTTTAATCGGTTATAAATCAAACCATATCCAAATCCTACAGTTTTTATAAAATCACATCCATTCAGTTTGTATGGTGTATACCAAAAAAAAACATATTATCGATTGTTTAAAATATTTTAATAATATAAAAGAAAAAAAAAGAATTAAGATATTTAAATCCTTGATAAAAAAAAAATCCAATGTGAAAAAATTAATAATTTATAATTTATAAATGTTCTTGAAAATTCATAGAAATTTTTGAAATTAAATATTTATGTAATCTTATATGGTATATAATTTAATCTATATATATATTTATTTATCTTATTATTGAATGATAGTTTTTACTGATATGGTTTTGAAATCATGTGTATCTTTTTTATAATAAAAATGTTAAATCATTGCTCATTAATTTTTAAGATAATAATTTTAATAGTTTAGTCATTTATTCTCGGTTTTTAAATTTAAAATATAACATATACGAAAAATTTTAAAGTTTAATTTATAGCTAATTTGATTGTTTAATTTATTTTAATAATATAAAATTAAACAAAAATGTTGGATGAGATTTAATTTTTTATCAAATATTTATTATTAGAATCATTAATTGTCATATATATATATTAGTTATTTATGGTAATTTCGTAAGTTTTATTTAAATAAAAAAAATAAAATGGTAATTATATCTAGCAGAACAATCATAAATGCTTCTAGCGTAAATATCATATCATAAATGACCAACGAATGTATCTAGCGACATATAAAAATCGAATGTGGACCTGCTCATTTTTCAATTGAATGTAATTGATTACCTAATTGAGTGACATCTAAGCATAAAGTCTTTTTTAATTAATACAAAATTGGGGTTACAATTTTTCAAATGTTTCTCTTTTAATATATAGAGGATGGAACATAATTTATTTTGAAATATATATATATATATATATATATATATATTAACTGAGACTTCTTACTTATCTAATATTGTAATCATTTTTATTTTGTAACAACTTTGGTCATTTATAGTCGCTTTAAAAAATTCAAAGTATAGCATATATGAAAAAATCTAAATTTTTATTATATAGTAAATGTAGTTGTTTAATTTATTTTAATAAGTTAAAATTTAAAAAATACACTAATTTTTTTTATCAAATCTTTATTGTTGAAAATCATTAATTGTCATATATTCTGTTATTTTTATTTAAGGAAACATTGAAAAACATTAATAAGTCATTTATGATTAGTTTAATAAAAAGCTATTATATATTTAGATGGACCAACATATTTTTCTAAGTATTCTAAGAATGATTGTGGTGATGACACGTGGCTACAAAAAAATGTTGTAATGATTCTCCTTTAATATATAGAGGATTAATTTGGAAATATTTCTTAAATGAATTTGCAGAACTAATCAAAAAATAGATTTCAAAAATATAGTTTAAAATGTATATATAGATTTTCAATTACACTAAAAACATTATTTAATAATATTATATTAGATTTTAAATATAATATTTTTTTAGGAATAGAATTATGTGGAATTAGTCATTTATGAGAATTTCATAAATAATTTATCAGTTAACTGGTATTTTTTTGATTCCTCACACTCCTATGAAATAAGTGGGAAATATTGTGAATTATGTGGAAAGTCTTTGTGAAAGAAAAAAAGAGATGATTCAAATATAATTAAAAAAAAAATACATATAGCATTCCTTTAATCCCTCAAAATTAACATTATTGCATTACAATTTCATTTATTCCATACATTCCTAAAATGAAATATCAGTTAGAGCCTTCATTCTAAAGTGAAATATCAGTAACGGCATTCGCTCTCTCGAAGTTTTGATAGTAAAAGAAAAAGAAACCAATATCAAGTGTACGTCTCAAGTCTTAACTATTCAAAAATAGACAACCAGAAGAAAAAGATCCAACATTTGTTTCTCTTTTGTTCACCATTACCAAATTGAAACAAATCTCATAATAGTACATGTCGTATCCAACCCCAAAAAAACAAGCCAAATCTTTCTCCACTGTAACCACCACTTGGATTCTTCAGAACTGTTTTCTTTTACTCTTGAAGAGCCTATCTCTTTTAGCGTACACGTAACCCAAAGCCACTAACCCTACTCCAGACACTGAAACAGCTCCCCACGGGAACGGAGGATCCTTAAAACAGTCGAGACTCGCTTCCACCTTTTGCGACGCCAAGTACACCACCGAATGCATCGAGTACAAGTCATGAGAAGCTGATCTCAAATAGTACAAAGCCATCTCAAAATCATTATGCGACAAAGCAGAAACAGACTTCTCCATCTTATACTTCAAAAGATTCCACCTCTGCATAAACTCAGCATACCGATTCTGTTTCACAAGCATCCCCTCTCCTCCATACGCAACCGCGGAATCAATAACATCAATCGCGCTAGAGATAGTCGTGTTCAACGACGTCAGAATCACGTTCCTCTTAGCAGCGTCTTTCTGAACAAACGACAACGACGAAACATCAGAGAATGGCCCAAACGGCGTCTGCCCAACGCTCCACGTGTAATCAACCAACGTCGAGTTATGCCTCGGACTCCACATCAAATGAGTCGACGACACACCCCACATACTCTGTAGAATCGAACCCACCAAAGGTCTCTCAAGATCCCTCGTGTGAACAAACACATGACGCCCATTACAAGTATAATCACTAACCGACTGCGTCCCTCTAGTTCTAACCGCAATCACCATATCCTTAAACGCGACGCTCTGATGATACCTATCCAACAACAACGGCGTGTTGACATCCAAATCAAACACGTAAACAGGCAACACCCTAGCGAACTCCTCTTCCTCATGAATCCCGGCCACTCTCCTCAACTCATCTCCAGACTCAGTCAACGTCCGATGCATATGCTTGGAATCCAAATACTCACTCACAATCAACGTATAGTTATCAAACAAAAACCTCGACGTATACGAATTCATCCCACGAGAAACCGCAAACGAACAAATCGGACACTCTTTAAAATCAACACTAAAACTCTTGAAACTAAGCTTCTGTTCACCTAACAACAACCCTTTAGATTCCTCCAAGAAAGTCCCTTTAACAACCTCCCAATCCAACCCAACCGGATCCTTAACCCCGGACGCGTAAACATGAATCAACTGCACAACCAAAGTCTCCTCGAAGTACACAGGGATCCTCAAAGAAGGAACAAGAAGTACCTTATAAGCATTATAAACCAACGAAGCCAAATCCGCGAGGAGAGCCTTCTCCGACTTCGGCCTCCCGTGGAAAGCCGCGAGAGGGTGAAACTCGCCACGTGGAAGCACACCGTCTCCCGATAAAGCTGGACCGTAGTCTACAGGTCCAGCGGAGAGATCGATCCAGAGGTAACGGTCTTTACCAGTCCAGATTGTTCCGAGGCATTTGGTGAAGCCCGCGGAGGAGTCTCCGTGGGAGTAGGAGTAAGCGTAGGGCTTGGATTGAGGAGGGAGGGAGAGTAAGTAGACGTAGACACCTCCGTCTCCGTGCTTCTCGTTTTGGTATTCTCGTTTGATGATTTCGTCGATGGGGGAGTAAGGGAGGGAGAGGAGGTTGGAGCGGAGGGAGGAGGTTGAGGAGGAGATTAGGGATTGCAAGGTTGTGGTGAGGCGTGAGGAGAGGGAAGCGGGGGAGAGGGAGGCGTCGAGGTGGAGGGAGTGGGAGACGGCGAGGTTGTGATCGGAGGAGTCGGAGATGACGTGGAAGTAGTCGGAGGAGACGGCGGAGGTGAGGAAGGAGGAGAGGGTGGAGGGGGAGGAGGAAGGGAAGGAGGGGCCGACGAGGCGGACGTGGAGGGAGACGGGGAGGGAGAGGGAGAGGAGAGGGGAGGAGAGGGAGGTGAAGGGGAGAGGGGAGGAGGAGAGGGAGCGTTTGAGGGAGGAGGGGAGTGAGGGGAAGGAGTCGTTGGTGGATTTTGGGTCGATTCGGTATTGGTTTGTTAGGAAGGTGTCTAGTCCTGGGATCGGGAGAGTTGTTGAGGTTGTGGTTGTGGTGATGGTGAGTAGGAGGATGAGGAGGAGGGTGGGGATTGTGGCGGATCCGCCGTTGATGCGGTGGTGCATCATGTGATCACGGAGCTTCTCTGATGGAAGTGAGAAGAGAGAGAGAGAGAGAAGACTTGATCTGATCTCTTCCGAGAGCTAATTGTCAAATTGGATTTGGGCGTGCATTTAGGGGTTTTTTCACTCTCAGAATTGCCGTATGTTTATGTTTCTAGCAAAATGGTGAAAATGTGATTAGAATATTTTAATGTAATTTAGTTAATTAAATTTAATGTTTTTGACTTTAAATTTTATATTAAAATTAGGTGTTACTAGTTATATAATTTACAAATCATATTAAAATTTATACAATCATATGTATTTACTATTCATTTTATTTATACAATTTGTGTTACATATACAAATCTCAAATGCAAGCTCAAATTTAAATACTATTCACTCTGTTTTAAAATGATTTTCTTTAAAAATATTTTATTTCAATTTTTTTTATATATATTTTTAATACATATAATAATTAAGTTCGGCTCAAATAGATTTTGGACCCTATGCTAAGGTTAAATTTTTCCCAACCTAGTTATATTACATGTAAAGTAAGGTTAATCTCTATATATTTCACTAATCAGGGTCTTAATTACTTAAAGAAATTTGCAAAATAAAAAATGGACCTGTGCAAAAGCACTGTGAGCACATGATCTAATCCGGTGCTGGTAACAATGATAAATAGTAGATTCAAAAAAAATTAATTGTATTACTTATAAAAAAATAATTAAACACAAAAAATAATATATTTGTAATTAAATTTAAGATATTTTTTAATATGTATGATAATTCTAAAATATCAATACTATTAAAAGAGAAGTAGTCCTAAAAAATCTATTTATACAAGTTGTTTGGACTCTTTCATTAGATTAATATTTTTTGGTCTTCCCTTATATTTCTCTAACTATATAAATACTATTTCTCTAACTATATAAATACTTTATAATTTAAATGAACTCATTTATTACTTTCCATAATCTACTACATAATTACTCTAACAATAAATCTCTATATACTTTAATATATTTAATATTTTTACATAAATTGGAATTTAAAAAGCTTTGGTGTCAAATATTCAACTACGAAACATTGATTTAGTTAATTACAAGCAATCAATTATTAAAGTTTTATATTACATTTTTATACATGAACTAAATGATTAATTGTATATATAAAAATAAAATGGGTTGGAGATTTTAATAGTATAGATGTTTATTTATTTTACAAATTCTAACTATGCATATGATACGTTTTTATTTAATTTTAAATGTATACTATCCTACAATTTAAATATCAGATAGTTTGAATATCTTCAATATTTTGA